CCGAGGCGCCCTCCTTCATTCCGTTCCGAAGACACTTTTTTGCTTGTTCCGTTCCCGCGGCGAAGCGCCTCACGAAAACTGATCGCTGCTGCAGCGCCGCGGCCGAGACCGGAACTGAGAAGAGACCGTACCGCGAAAGGGTCGTGCGGAGAAGTTAATTGCCAGTGAGAGAAAGATAGTAGAGACCCGGGGGAACTGTTTGGACTGCAGACGTCTCTAAGGTCTAGAACGATGGTCGAAGGAAATTAAAAAAAAAATGTTGTGTGAAGAGACATGATTAATATAAAAGATTAATCAAACTCATTGTTCTGAATTAGACACAGGACCGTGAGATGGATGCGACGAGATTGTCAATATTATTCCATACACTGCATAAACGAGATTTTTGCTAGTATATTTGCGTTGCTTATTATGCTTCCAGACAATTGTTTGCCAACCTCTCGAAGAAATTTTGTTGCCAGAACATTGGCTTTTGCGAGGCATAGATTATAGATCCTCGACCAGTTCTTTCAGTGTATTTTCAGTGCTTCTTTTTTAGTATCTGAAAATCTTATTTTAAAATATTGAAGGCAAAAAGAATGCCGAATTTTCAAAAGTTTCAACATCAATTTCATTTTTTACTATCCGAGTATTCATGCACCATCACGGGTTACGGCCGAACCAGTTAGATGTAATAAGTTTCAGATGAGCATTTAGTATAATTAGAAGTCTATTTAAATGTTCTCGAGTGTTGCTCTTACCCTTCTGAATAACATTGCACAATGGTTAACTTGAAAGAAAATCAAGAATTCATGGTATTGAAACGTTTTGTGTGTTTCCTAAGCCCTGTTGAATCATTCTGACTTTCTCTGAAACAAATAAGAAAATAATTGAATTTTATACGAGATTAAAAAATAATTAAATTACTTTTTATATGTTACAATGCCTTAGATTCCTCTTTCAAGTTAATTGTTACATGTCATAACTTTGCACAGCTTCAATATTTCGAAAATCACAAGTAACGGGGAGAGTAATAATTTTACACTTCCCGAACGCGGATCAAGACACCGCAGTAAATGTAGTAAGACAATGCAATTATACCTAGGAAAATTGCTTCACCTTGAACGAACACCAATATTTCCTATGTGGATTTTAGAGAATAATTGTTAACATTAATGTTACTGCAAACGTGCGTGAAAGTGACTGGTGATCATATGAATTTGGTGAATTTTGCACCAGCTGGTATCAATGAACTGATGCTGTGTGTTAACTTATTGGAATGTTTTTACCAAGTTACGTTTACTAGCACATAATATGTGTACTTGAGTTACATTTTAGGTGTATAGTAGTATATCATCCTACTCGGTAAAATGAACTATTGCTGAAGAAGTTTTGTATGATCAATAACTCTGCAAGTATCAGTATTTGAAACGGAAATCTTACAAATAGCTTGGGATGACTGATGTCATAAAAAGCACGTCGTATATGACGTAATGTTTCATAATGAGTGATATAGTTCAATAATGATAATTTGTCCTTTTTGAACATATGTTTTGACTAATGACCCGCTCTGTGAATAAAAAACGAAGAGTTAATGTGTAATACAAGAAATATTACTTTTCTGAAACACATAATTGACTAACGCGATTTCTCTCTCATGGCATCGAAACGTGCCCTTCATCAAATTGAATCAATTGAATCTTCAATTGAATTGCTTTGTAAATTTAACTTTAATTTAAACCCTCAAAGTTAGAAGGCAACTTTGAAATGGAAATTATTGACGAGTAATGTCATTGACCTGGAGTATTTTTTGAGAACTGACTTGCATTATGAATCGAGCCAGGGAATTCCCACGGCTCGATATGTTTATCATCTCACTCTCGCCCAATACGTCTTCTTTCTGTAAATCATTAATAGAACTTCTTAATTTCTTCTCTGTGTAGTCGTAGTCTGTAGAACGCTTGGTGTAAAATATGTATCCCGAATCAACTCCTATGTCCGTAACTTTTTGTGTCTGTGTGCTGTCTGTTCTGCTCAGCTTTCAACTTTATGTACAGTAAGTGTGAACACTTTTATTGTAATATTCAAACAAATAGTATTATTTACTCATTCCGCGATGTATCAAATTTATAAGAAAATATATTATCTGATGTTCGATTGTGCGAGAAAGTGAAACGTTTTGGCGTGTTTGTAATGCGACTGACAGGAGCAGTTCTGTAATATTTATTAATCTGTCTATGATTGTTGTCAGAGGGAGAGAAAGAAAAAAGAATTAGTGAACATTATATTCGATTTTTAATTTTGAAAACTGTACTATTATTTATAATAACTGACTGGAGTGACACCCTGAAGGATTCTCAATTACTTTCTGGACACTACCGTAGCATGTAAAGTATCTTAACTATGCATTTTAACATTTTGTCTGAAATATCTAAAGTAATAAATTGTGGACTTTAACGTGATACATTTATAATATTTCAAGTATTTCTAATATTGTCTATAATTATTAAATATGTTTTGTATGTCTATTGTGTTAAATATTGTTAAACTTGATCTAAGAAACACATACACCTCACACAAGCGATTAGAACATTCAATAACTAACAATAACGTGAACTCCGAATACATTTTCAATATTACTCAGTATTTCTTAAGAAGAAGCCATGATTATTTCAAAAATTATCAATCAAAACAATTAAGTCTTCCACAACTTCAATTCTTCTTCAATCATGAGACGGTTATAAAAGTTTAAAAACAATTCGGAGCGCTATTGAAATCGTTATAGATTTACCCGAGGCGCTCTCTGGGTACATAAAATTATAAATTGATCCATCATGAAAACAAGACAACAGGTAATGCTAAAGCAAACATACACAAGACACAAATCCGTCGTTGGGCCTGTCCGTCGCTGTCCGTTCTGTGACTGGTATCCAAGCATTCCCGGGACTGGTTGCATCACCACGAAGTTCAGCGGTTCTCGCGACAGATTGAATTAGCAGCCGGTTATCATCGCGTTGTCATAGCAACCTGATAACGCTACCGGCTGCGAATATTCCCCGTCCTGCGCAACGATCTTTGATGATGGACATTTCTAACATTAGCGGTGTACCTTTCAACATCAATTGCGTAAGTAATCGTACATTGTATTAATTCATCTGTTTCTCAGATGATGAAGAATTGAAGTTTCAGAGATCAGCAATTCACACCACTCATTGGAATAATGGTAATTTTCAATTGAGTTATTCTCTTCTCCAATAGTAACATCTTGTTGGTGAGAAAAAACGACGCTTTGTAAATGGTAGTGCAGTGCATATTGGTGTATTGCTAAGTCCACTATTTATTCCTTCACATTGCTCACGATTAACTTCATGATATTTGACTATGAATATTATTATTTCATGATATTTGACTATGAATGGGCATGATATTTGATTAAGGTTCTTATTTGTTAATTAGTTGACGGGTAAATAGATTGCCTAAATTTTCTCAGAAGTCCTCCCTTCATGTTATTGAGGAAATCATATTTTCAAATTTACTTTGACATTAAAACATTTTTAACCTCGTTTAGAAAACGTATTTTCTTAATTTTCAATTTTTATGTTTCCAATGAAAAGGAAGTCCTAATTTTTTTTTATTCCCTAAATGTTTGAATTCGAATGAAAGGGATATATGGTGTGCACAATTCTGAATGATAGAACTAAAACATCAAGCGATGGTGAGCTTCCATGAACATCGACTTTTTTTAAATTTACTCCGTATGTTCAGAAGATGAATTTTCGTCGATGCTGGTTTTAATTGGCGTTGAAATAAAAAAGAAATAACGTTATTAAAATATTTTTATAAGTCATGAGAACACGCTTTCAAGGCGTGTTGTATCCTACAGTTCTTTCAAAGCAAGTAGAAACATGTATTTACACCATGGCGTTATTTTTTGACGCTTCCCTAGTTTTGATGTGGTACTTGTTGTTTTTCCTGTGAACAATGTACATTCCATGTATCGTTTATATTTATATGATAATCAAATATCATTAAATGGTACTGTAACGATATTTTTATTATCCATTTCATCTGATGTATCAAATAAAAACACTTTTATAAATGTGGGAAATGCTTTCAACCGTTTTTGTCCCCCTTCGTGCATGCATCGCGATTCATTGAGTATAATTCATTGAGAAAACCCTCTAAACCTAAGAGAGGTGAATATTTTATAGAACTCATTATTTCTTACAAGAAAAATGAAGCTGTAAGCTCTATTTACTAGTGTTGGAAGGCTTTGGTTCTTGTGAAATGTGCTCTTAAGATGACTCGGAATGTAAAATGAAGAGAAACTAAAGAGGGGCGATAAACTGCAAAGGAGAGGAGAGGAAATGGATGAGTGACAAGTGGTACCATACCTTGCTTCCGAGACTCCATTAGTTTCGATATCTTGATTGAAAATATTCCGCAAACTTTGATCGGGAAGTCAAATAATATCAATTCTTTGTTGCATTCTCATGGTGAGTACACACTTTAAATAATTATACTACTGGATTTTTTAGATGAATACTGAATAAAGAAAATAATCACCTTTAGGAATCAAACCCTCAAAATGTCCTTCACTTTCATATAAATATCAAAACAGAATAATTTCTTGGTGGCATTTAATACTGTACGTAGAAGGCTAATATTGAAATACGAAATATAAAGCATAAGACAAATGGATGGACAAAAGAAAGTTATAAACCTCGTTTAAGAAATTTATGAATGCCAATAACATTTTACATAAGGAATGTTTTCTTGGTAACCGGATGTGTTAAATTGTCAACGCAGTATTAACCAATAAAGAATTTTCATTATTTTATTTATATTAAGCCGTTAATTGTCAACGACTTAGTGTATCAAAAGTTTAAAGTAATTCTTGAAGAGTTCCGCAGGTCATTTGTTAAGGGTAGTTGCCAAACAGCTTTCAAAACACGTCGCTTGCGTGTACCGAGAAAGTGAAAGGAAGAAGAAACGAAAGCGCGTGCTGAGCGTGAGCTGCAATGGCGTCTGAATATCCTCTGCCCTCGCACCCACGCCCGGGCTTCCTGGAAGGCGCCTTCTGGGGTGGAGGCGGAGCCCTTGTCGGCGGCAGGCTGCTCCTGCGGTGGCCGAAACACCTGGTAGTTCCCAAAGGGATAGCTTACGAGGTGCCCTTTCACGACCTGCCTCCACTCGGGCTGCAATACGTCACACCGGGGTTCGTGATAGCGTCATCACCTGTTGGGCTGGGCGCTTGTATACGTTGCTATACACGTTGATTTATAATTTTGTGTACCTTTCGCGACAAAAAAATCATTCATTTAGTAACATAAAGCAAATATTTCACATGTTTTACCTGCACATGCACTTTATAAGGTTCGAGAAGCATACTAAAAGCTTTTCTTGAAACCAACCCTATTAAAAATGTAAAAATATTCCCTCTATTATGGCAATGATAACTAATGTTTAGACAATTTATTAAATATTTCACTTTTTCGTATAGATATTGCTAAACACCATTCAAGAAATCGATTAAAAGTATCGTATTATTACATCTATTGAATGAAAACTCATTGCTATGAACATAATTTTATAAAACACTTGCAAACCTTTGCAAACCCTGAGAATTTAAAAATGTTTCTCATAATCATGTACGTATATTCTTTATTTTTAAAACTCAAACCAATGACGGACATTTTTGAAATATTGATAAAAAAAGTATCAGGTCGAAAAATAATGATTTTTGTCAACGTGCAGACTAATGTGTTCATCGTCTGAGACCCATCCATCCACAGGCTACTGTCCTCAATATGTATATGACAACACACCATTTTATGCCAATTTCAAACGCTAAGCTGGAATAACGACACTCGGTACACTTTGCTTAAAATAACTCGGCGTTATTATATTCTTTGAGACATCTGATGGACACCAGATAATTGAAATAGACACAATGTGGAAAGTTGTAATTACTTACATTCTTGAAAGTACAGCACGGCCAAAACATAAATCGTTCGTAATAATTGTTCACTTTTCTACTGGTTCTTTATGTTGATATTTAGATAACACAATTTAAAAAATAAAAAATATATTTCGTTTTAAAAATGTTATAATGCATTTTTGTGAATGTTCCAATGGTTAATATAATCTGGAAAAATTAAATTGATGAAATATTTCATTTGATTATAATGATACCAAATTAAGTATTGTTTAACAATTGTATCTCGATACAATTTTTGCAAATGTGTTATTACTTCTTTGTCAGTTCTTCAATCTGTTAAGTCTCGGAAGATTGCTTCTGCAAATAGACTTTCGAAGAAATAATAACGGCGAAGAAATAATAGCGGGACATAATTCCGAAAGAATCACTAGTTACGCCATTTTTGACAATACCCAGCGACCCAAAGGAAGGGTTTGTGTGAGATGAAAATATTTTGTGATAAGGAGATAGGAAACAATTATCGTAGTTCTTTACTAATTGTCACAAAAAGTCTCGATATAAAATGCATTCATCGCATTGAAGAGATTACTTGTTCTGTGATTAAGTAGAAAATGTTTTCTTCTTTATTTTAATCAAATTGTTCAGTACACTTTAAACATATATCTCGAGTTTTGTGATTTATTACTCTCTAGGAATAAACACAAATTCACTTTAATGTATTTTTAAAGTTCTTAATTTTGTTACTCCTCCATTATTCAAATAGACTGCTATAATTTTGGAGAAAAATCGGTTCTTTATTCAAGTTTTAAAGTCGAAATCATTTTCATTCAAGGAATAAGAATTTCTAATGATAAAGTGAGAGTTTATGAACTATCATATTCATTAAAGAAACTAGTCATTGATTTATTCAAAATCGCCTTTTGTATGTTCATAGTTGTCACTCAACAATCTTTAATGTTTTTGCTCTCCTCTCTTAAACATTATCCGAATAGCATGATAATACATTTGAATGTCAGTTTCAATTTGTGTATGGCACGGTGATACAGTGCACAATTTCACCATGAACAAAGAATATTTATGATTATGCAACGGAATTTATAATTTTTACTTTTTTCGTGCCATATGGATTGTTGTTTGAAAATATTCCATTGTATCTGACTTTTTCAATAAACTATTTTGGTTTCTGATGATCTTAATACATTTATAATTTGTATTTCAATTGTAAATAATTTTGAAAACTTGATATTTGTTGTTTAATTGATTGTTTAGTATTTGATTCATTACATTATTTTTAATATTTTAGTGACATGTTTAGTCTGCTATAATGTCATTACAAAGTTATTTATTTCTGTCTCTTGTAGGTTTATTAGGTAATGTATTTCAACTCAAGCCAAGTGTTTTCTATTTAATTGTATAGAATAATTTGGAAGATAATACGTTATACTAAAGTTCTTTGCACTCAAGGAAAGGCCGAATATATTTATTTAGAACATATATACTTGTCCATTAAATAAGCAACCAAACATTGCTTCTCTTCTTTTTACCATGAGACTGTGTTGCGGAAATATGCAACTTCTTTTTCGTGAATTTACAATAAGGTGTGAAGATGTGGAGGTATTAAAATAATAAAGAAGGATGGATTTTGTACTTATCTTGATGTATGTGTGTGGTGAAAATGTGGAAAGAAAAGTTCATGTAGAAAGAGGCATGGTGAAATAGATATTTTTGTGGCCCAAAAATATGTTTACACAGTAAAATGAGATGTTTTGTTGGAACAAGGCGAAAATAAATATTGCATCATTTTATTTTCTATGTTTGTCAATCGTTGCAAAATATAGAAAAGTCAATTAGAATTAATTTTACCTGAAAGTGGATAGCAACAAACTACAAAATTTACTTCTTATTTAAAAGTGTTACTGTTAGTATTTTCTGAATGTACGAGAAATTTGTAAATAATTTATGACAGACTAAATTTATTCTCGCAGTGTTTCAATTGTCGAAAAGTTTGCAAGGGATGGTTGTAGGGGCAACGGCAGCATTAACGGAAGCTTGTGATTATTTCCATGAACGTAGATGAGTAGTCAATGTAGAGTTATCAAATGGTATAATACATGCGATAAATATCAATATTTACTGTTACTGCAAGTAAATTGTGTTTGTTCCCGAGTGCCATTTTCATTGTTAATATTTTATCTCATTTATTTCAGGAACAATACGTGTCTGTGCAATTATTTTCCAGAAGCAACTCACTATTTGGCAGTAACATTTATTTTGCTATTCATAAAGGTTTTATAAAGTACCAAACACTTTAAATGGAAGTAATACGATTTTTACACCCGAGATCCAAAGTAATAAAAGGTTACCACAAAAGTGGTTACCTACATTTCTTGCTACTTTAAAAAATAAATTATTACAGAGTTTATTTACCTACGTTCTGAATATGTATTGTGATATGTATTTCATGTCTTTGTTTTTTAAACTTATTTTTATCCTACTTTCTCATTGCGGGTGGCATCTTTCAAAAACATGGCGATTATGGGGGATGTTCTTTTCTGTGAAGACGTGAAAAAGAACGTTCTTAGCAAGTGCACTTGCAGTGAGTCGTAAAAGTCTAGAAACGAGGTCTGCACAGGGAGTATAATAGCAGAGGGAGAGAACGGAGCAAGAAGGAAGTGAGAGAGACGGTGGTCGTGGGTATAGTGGACCTCGTGCGTAGCGAACGAAGGTAGTAACCAAAGGGAAAGGAGCCTCCGATTTGCATCAACATTCTGTGACGTCGGACAACCCGGTTGAAATCTGTTTTCTCCACGGTGAGAAATGGAAATGAATTGCAGGTTTTCCAAAGTTGAACAAAAGTCGCATATTTGTCAGTGTAGAAAACTTTGTTGTTTGAGAGTTGAAAACAAATAACACTAACAACAAATTAAAATAAAACTATTTTTGAGAGCGTAGGCTTCCGCGGCCGGAGTCAGTATTTACTAGGGGACTGAGGGCATTACGCCCTGAGGAAGGTCGCAGAATGGCGACCGAAACGTCGGCACCTTCGCCATGGACGCGGCGTCACCCGGTCAGCCTAGTAAAAAACTATTTTTATTATAACAGCCGAACAGTTTTACATCATTCATAAACAAAAAAATCCAAGAGAGGTTGATCGAATTCTTACCATCGCATTTTTCGCTATTCCGTAAATTCATATAGGATATACACACCTGAACAATCCTCAGCACCCTAATCGGAAATTCCTGCTTTTATTTCTCTGTCATACTCGTACTTCCAGTAAGACTCCTAAATGTGGTTCTTACGTTCAAAACAAAACTGGAAAATATTTGAACATTTGGGTGAATGTTAACTTTTAATTTAGATTTAGAAAGTTGTAAAATTCACATTATTGGACTTTTCCTCTTTAGTATTGTAATCTCTCGTTTGCATTCACCCCTCAAAATCGAAAAGATCGGCTTCCAAACTCGCAGATCTCTTACATCTCGTTCCAAGCCCTCTCCTTTAAATCGGAAAGTCGACTGCTTTGGGAAACTGCAAACTTGAGCGTTGTGCGTTCCAGATAAGCGTTAGGATTTGTTTGGACCCATTCTGGCTTCCTGCCATCACTTCTGCGCATTCCTTTCGTTCGCTTTTATTCATTTTTTACATCTTACAATTCCTGAGCCGAATTATTTGCTGATCCTCCAACTTCACAAATGTACCAATCTTAAACATTGTTTTGAATTACAAATTTAGTGATTCTATTCAAAAGAAATGGATAGATTCATTAAGCCAGCTTTACGAGGACCTCCGGAAAGCTTGTTGATACTATGCAAGCTTTTTCTTGTAAAATTAGATCGGGAGTGACAATTTAGAAACAAATAAACATAGCTACCTGTAAATGACAGAAATAAACGGAAAATAGACTTGGTCAGGTTTTCGATTTCTAGCGAACCTCTATTTAACATATCAATGAAAGTTCAATGATAATTCAGTCGAATTAAATTTCTTGAAGAGAATGTCATAAATGTAAGGGATGTAGAGCCATTAAATAAATTGTCGCCCATCCCTCGTTTCCTCATAGCCGATTTCAGTGACGTCAGTGATAACAGACAGGCCTTGGCAAACGTAGCTTTCCTCGGCTTCACACGTGTAGGGGAAGCGGGAACTAAGTAAACCGAATGCGCGCATTTGACAGAAGGGGATATGTCATTGTGTACTCACACAATATTCAAGCGCAAATTGAAAGAGGTATGTGTTCAAGGGCATTGAGAAATGATACAAGAAACGAATAACGTGGATTATGTTCGGTGAAAGAAAAGTGTTTCGATTGAATTATTGTTAAATAATTTTTCTTTA